ACTCGCTTCACTTAGCTATCATTACATACGGAATACAAGAATGGCTACCCCTTCATTCCAATACGTTCTCTTTGCCCTGGAGGCTTCTTTTTGTGTGTGTGCTATGTGATATCTTGAGAGGGTATTGGTAAGCAGTAGGCTTTGCTGCCCTGTTTCAATATCTAAACTCGTACTTACTCTAGAAGTCGCAAAATCGCTACCGCACGTTAATCAGAAGAATCTCTCTGATTGGCGCAGCATTGAATCGTAATACAAGTGGTAATTAATTGTGTATTGAAACGCTCTTAACGACTATTCCCTAAACATAGCGTCGACTATGGAATTCGTAACACTGAGAGACTCACCTTGCTGTTTCTTTCGCATGGAAGCCCTAAGATTCTTGATTCTGATATTATGTCCTATTCATTCTCTGTGTTTGAAGTCTTCATTTGGTTCAATGTATGTCATAATTTTCGTTTCTGGGCTACTACTCCTCATTCGAGCCAGCTTTTTTCTCATACGTCTCAAATCATCACTCCTCATCAGTTTGCGGCAAAGCTGCAGTAGCATTCTCCATCTTGAGTTTCCACAGTTGCTGGATGTGCGAGTCATACACTAGAGCTGAGGAATTCTGTTCCACTGTAAACGCGCCGTGAGTAGTGCCATTTGTCTCAAGTTCGGTACGCTTAGTATATCCTGGGTAGACCTCCGGTGTGACCCAGGCGGTGCAAGCACTCTCCAAATTTCCATTGAAAGCAGTCACACAGAAGCTGTAGTGCCAAGTACCTGGAAACAGGAAAGCCACTTCCCAGCTGGTACCAGTAGTAGTGCCATCCAGGGCAGTGTCGGAAGCGTTGAGAAGACTCTTATAGTAGATGCCGTATGCAGCTACTGAGCCTGAACTTGCTGTCCACGTAAGCTGCACGGTTGTGGGATCGATGTTCGAAACTGAAAGTCCACTAGGCTGCGAAGGCGCTCCTCCTCCGACAATGACATTCTTTGCCGCACTTGGTAGACCTCCTGCAATATTGCCGTCAGCTAGATTGACCCAAGTCGCCACCCAAGTTCCGTAATTATGTCCTGCGGTAAGGCCAGTCACAGTGTAACTTGTTCCCGTCGTGGAGAACCCATTTATGAATGAGCCTTCCACATCTTGATCCCAGACAATGACCTCGTAGCGATTAACGGAAAAGCCTGAAACAGCACTCCAGCTAAAAGATATACTGTCGCTTCCTGAAGGCTGCACAACAATGTTCGGTGGTCCTTGGGAAGTCTGTGGATTGCATGTAGCAGACTTGATGCTTGTCCAATCAGTGGTCTGGTCAAAATCGCCGTGTGTCTGGACCGCTACCTCCCATGTCTGATCTGCAAGATTGTTAGATATCATTTACCCCCTCCTCATCAAACTCCATAGAATTACTTACCCGCTAGGCACCAAGTAAAATAACTTGCGAATGTATTGGGATATACAGCACCGTCTGACCACCAGTCTGTCATGCCTTCAATTCTCATGCGGATATTGTATCCGCGGGCGTTCTCAACTTCGGTCCAGGAAGAAAAGATGCCTTCCGGTACAGCTTGAACGGAAAATCCACTGGGCGTCGTGATATCTCGCGATGGTGGTGTAGGAACAGAAAAGTCTTGACCTCTCATTCCGAAGTCATCTCGTAACACGTTGGCAAATGCCTGAGCAATATGATATTCACCAATGGCAGCTGGGTGAAGCCCATCGTAGCCGTCTGGGCAAGCCTCCGGACCGCATTGATAAATGCTCGCCACGTCAACATAACTGATAGGAGAGCTCGTTACCTCGCTCCAGATCGAGACAGCTGTCTTCAAGTCTTCGTTGTATGTGTAGGTGTTCTGAACCAAGTCCTCCCGGCCGTCGATGAAGAGGCGTTGAACGACATTAGCAATTAATATATTCACGTCTGACTTGGCTGCACGCGTCCAGGAAACAAGCTCATCCATACTTGTAATGAGCCCATCTGGTCCACTCACGAACCAACCAAGGTCATTGAACCCCAGCATCACAAGGACGTAATCTGGTTGGTATTCCTCTACCCAACCATTGATAGTCTCTTTGACTTGAGCAGCTTGACGTCCCCAGTAGGCTCCATGACCGCTGGCCGCAAAATCAGGGCTAACACCACTGGCATACAAACCGACCACTGCGGGGTCGGCTGCGGCCGTTTCTCCCGGAAGCAGTGGAGGTGAGGGCAAAGCCTTAGAGGGAGGGTTTGGTCCATGCGTGCCACCGTATGGGCCAACAAATTGTACATCATAGCCAAGGGTGTTTACTGTTGAAAGTTAGCGTTGTAGCAAGTCGCATCTTTTTGTAAAGACTTACGCCACTCCCAAAGTCGGTACCGCCATGTCTAAATCTGCTAGTTAGTGAATGATGAGAGGAGGGCCAGCTATCTGCACTGCTACTTACCCAATCAGACTCCATTCCGTGGGAAATTGAATCACCCACAACCATGAGCTTGAAAGGAAGATAGGGGAAAGGGTGAAGGTTGACAATATCAGCTGGATCATCAGATAAACCATCCTTGTGGCATTGATCCTTTCCGTCACACAACTCGGGCTGGACCAGATTATCACAGGCTTGAGATGCAGTAAGAACTGATTCATGCGTTGGGCAATCGAAGCAAGTCTCTCCATCTTCGGTTTCCCAGCACAAACAATCAGGGACTGAGCCAGTCTCAATGTCATACGTGGTCATTTGGGTAGTCCACGCAATTTCATTATTCTCTACATATTGAATTAGTAGGGACGCATTATCTTTCACAGGAAATGAGCAATTGACGTACCATAGTAAGAGAATACTGCCGTTTCCCCGTAGTCATGCACACAGAACGTATATCCATCAGCACAGCCTTCACCCTCACCGTCTGAATTCCTTGCGCAAAAGACCGAATCGTCCGAAGATTGGTATATGCCATCTGTATAAGAACACACTAGCTGCTGGTTGACCCACACCTGCATTGTCATCAAGTCATTTGTCAAGAAACTGCCCTGAAAGTAGACATGCGCCTCGATGCAAGCCCGAGCAGAGGTGGCGAGGGCAGCAATCACCAAAAAGGGGGACACCTTCTTCATCTTGACTGTGAGGCTAAAGACCAAGAACGGCTGACAGATAGTTTGTGCAGTTAGGAAAGAATGGACAACAACGATCCATGATACTTGACTTTATATACGTCCCCTTACCGCCCGTTTGGGAATGCAACAACATTGCCCACCAGCGGCCAGACCTGAGTTGTCCTTCGGGAGGCCAGTACTACTAGTCGCGGCACGGCACAGTCAGGCAGGGGAAAGTATTCCCAAGCCCTTGTGACCGTTATGCCTGGTAAGTGCAATGAGTTGATCATGCTATCGTTCCGCGATCACGAAGTCAAGTGGGCGGGGACCTCGCCCCAGATAACAGGCGACGTTACCTGGAACGCCAGGGTTAAGAACAATAGCGTGCCGCTACATCTGTGCCAAGAGCAAGCCATAAGTCGAAGAAGGCAGCTTGCAAGATTCGTAGCCCCGACATAATCTTCTGATATATCGGCTACGCTTACAAAGTGCCGGGTAGGTCGGTTGTGCCATGAACTTTAGAATTTAGCATGGGGGCTTTAATGGAAATTCGAATCCATGGTTGTTTTGCTCAGTGCTATTTTCCTCCGTTTTGTAGGGGCTAAGTTGCTATCGGAACTTGAAAACCGACGCGAAGATACCCTAACAATCACTGTAAGAAACTACTGGTCAAATCAAAGAGACGACCACAAAAATAGCAACGCATGCAATTCGGTTCAAGACGAACAGAATTTATTCTCTATTCTAATCTTGCCCTGACGACCATGATGATCGAAATTCTTGCACCGAGTGAAGTTTGAGAAGCTAAGATGTAGGAACAAATGTTCCGATGGTCAGGGGCCACACATCACCCCTGGTCTTTTATTGCAATAGACTGTTATTGCGCCGTTCTCATTAGCGTAGCGCAACGGGGATTGCCTCCTGATGCATGTAAGCGGCATGGTATTTGAACATGAGACTCAATATGATGAGATGGGATTTACGCATTTCCGGTTTGTCGGGGTCGCTCCTAGCCCTGCTACACTCTTGCGGTCTTTTCAAATCTCAAGTGCGCCAAACGGTTTCAATCCCAAAGAGCCGCCACGAACGCTATTCAAGTCATCCTTTACTCTTCAATTTTGCGACTATCGCGAAAGGTAGCTTGAATGTTT